TTGCTGCGGCACATAAGCGTCGTGGGAAAGGTGCGGCTTCTAAAAGATGCAGAGACGACAGACAAATCGATTGAGCACAGCTGCAGATGAGGAAAAGAGAGGTGAATGGTACTTGTAGTCTGAGGTAGTTGTCGGGGAATAGGAGGAAGCAAGTGAAGCTCATGAGCAGAAGTAGTAGAGCCAGAAACAGCACTTTGCTCCGCAGCAGACTGTCGCCACTCATCTTCCTCAACTCTCGGTCAGTCTTCCTGCGGCAAGGCAACAGTGCAATCTTTCACTCTTTCCTCTTTTCTCTTCTTGTCGTCGACTATCAAGCCTTGGGTACACTGCGGGCACCCAACCCAACACCTGACCACCGGGATCCTAATAAGGACAATATACCTGACCTGCGGCCCAAAAGTCAGACAAAACGTCACAGGCGCTGTTTCTTTTTCGAATGACCACATGGGTGGTCATGGTGGTGCCCCACGTTGATGAATCGAATGATTCAAATATGTGTCCGTGCTTTACTATTTTCTGTCTGTACACACGTGCCGATGAACTGGCTCTCCAAAACAAAACAAAACAAAACAAAAAATCAAGGTGTGCTACCACTTGTCGGTGAGATCACACGGGAAGTGGTCCGGCTTGGGCAACATCGACAGTTCTGGAGGAGAAGGAGGGAGGAAAGACGGGCGAATCGTTAGAAGACGAGGTCACTCGCCAAGGGTTGGGTACCCCAAGGTTGCGGGCGTACCACCCAAATTTTCCCTGCTGCACCCATTGGTCTCCGCTTCCGTAAACCCACTATTTGGAGAAAGAGTGTGCCCGCAACAACGCCGCAGTCAGTTAACCATATCAACATTGACCGGCGTTATCAACGTACCTTCTCCGCTTAGTGGCCACCTCGAGTTTGTCTCCGCTCTTGCGCTTGGCCGCGTTGTCGCTGACCCGGCCCACCGATTGCTCTCGCCTCTTGGGCGGTTGGTGATGGAGTGGTGGCGGCTCCCTTTCGACCGGCACCGGCGACGAGATGGCGATGTTGTCGCCCATCGTAGCGATCTTGCTTCCCTTTCGACTCTTCGCCAGCATGTGAGACCCGCTTCCACTGGCACCAGTGTCTCTGTCGCGCTCCTTTCGCACCGCCGGTGACTGCCTGAAAATGAAAGATTTCGAGCGAGCTGCGATTTGTTTGGGAGGGGGGAGAGAGTGAAGAGGGGTTAGACCAGCAGGTCACTGAAGGAGAGGGGGCCGAGGTCGTGGGCGCGTACCATGACCAGGCCGGTGACCATCGTCCCTGGCGGGGAGTTTCGCGGCCAGGCCAGTGTCGGCGCTGGCTTCGCGAGTGAACCTGCTCCGGAGCGGGGCGGCGGGCGACGGCACCGCGTGGGGAAAGTGGTAGTACCCGATGTCACTGTTGTGGTGGCGCTTCGCCAGCGTGGCGCCACCGTCGCTCGCGGCGAGCGCGGATTCACCCCCGCCTCCCTGCTGCCGGCGCGCGTTCGGCGGCGAGCCCGATGGCGAGAGCGGCGGCGAGGTCGGCGGCGAGAGCGCCTGCGCGGCGCTCCCAAAGTCGGGCGACGACTTGGGCGAAAGCGGTGAGTAGTTCCAGGAGCTCTGGGGTGATGGCGAGGTCCGCGCAAGCAAAGGCAGCCGCCCGACCGACGGTGGCGCGTCCTTGAGCAGGGCCGAGTAGGTCTGAATGGCCGCCGACGACGACACGAGGAACGCCGCGCCCGTCTTGTCCTTCTTCATGCGCTCCAAGTAGAACGAGAGCTCCTTTCGCCGCAAATGCAACACTCGCAGCTCTTCCCTCTCCCTCTGCACAGTTCAATTACAATCAAGTCGGGGGCCAGTGGAGTGGGGGGGCTGGCCAGCGGTACCTTGCTGTCGAGCGAGTTGAGCTCCTTCTTGAGCCACTTCTTCTCGGCCTTGAGCTGCTTGATGCTCATGAACTGCACGTTCTCGGGGATCTTCTCGCGCTCGCGCCACAGTTGCAGTCGATCATAGAGCAGGGCGATGATCTCCTCCTTCTCCTGCTCCCTCTCGCGCTCGCGCTCTTCCTTCTTCTCGCGCTGCCGCTCCTTGCGCTCGTGCTTCTTCTTCTCCTTCTCCGGCTTGTGCTTCGTCAGCCCGAACAGCCGCGAGCCGCCCCGCCGCGGCTTCAGCTCCGGCTCGGGGGTCATGCTGTCGTCGGCCTGGGTCTTGGTGAGGAGGTCGTTGGCCGACGCGCCCCGCTTCGTGAAGTCCGGCGGGCGGAACCTCTCGCCGCTCGCGGCCGGCTTCACCTGCGGTGCTCCGTCACCATCTACTCCGCTGGTCGTGGCGAGCTCGGCCGCGGCACCATCGCTGCTGTGGTCACCGATCACCTCGGCCTCATCGGCCGAGGGCTGCAATTCGGAGGTGGACCTCCTGCTCCGTTGCACGTCCTTCTCGGCGTTGGCCTTGGCGATAAGGGCCTTCATGCGCGCGACCGACGACGTCGTAGGGCCTAGGGCTTGGCTTTCTGTGATGGACGATTTGGGTGCCTTGGGCGACGGCTTGAGCGAAGTCTTCGGCTTAGAATCGAGGACCGACCACGACAGCCGCTTGGCGCCCAGCACCGCGCGATCCTGATGGTTCAGTTGACAGGTGGAACACGAACGACGAGGGCGTCAGCAGTTGCTTTGTACACATGTAGGCCGCCGTAGCGCAGCAGTCGAGTACCTTAGGCCGGATGATGTCATCTGACGTTTCCTCCTCGGTGCTGGCGCTCTCGTTGCCGTACTCGGGCGCTCCTCCTCTCCTCCCCCGAGACCCGACTCGTTGTCCTCATCCCCTGCGGCTTCGTCGACGCCAACGTATTGACGGCGCTGCGAGACCTCTTCCTCTTCGTCGTCGTCGTCGTCGTTGTCTTCGTCGGCTCCACTTTGTTTCCTCCTGATGCTCGACAGGAACGTGAGTTGCGTTGGCCCCTCCGACCTCGCACTCAACGCCTCGCGTTCAAGCGGAAGGTTTGGCTTTGTCCTGCGGTGAAAAATAAAAACCCAGCTTTAGCTTTGCCTGTAGTTGGTCGGGCTACGATCGCGAGTCGCGAGGCCGTACCCGCGCGCTGCACTCAAGGGGGTGCGGATGGGGTCGCTCCTGGCTCGCGCGCTTTTTTTGTTTCTAGATCCCCGCTTGGCCCACCCCGAGTCCTCCTCCATGATGCACAGCGGTACGTCTGCCGCCTGTTGTGCAATATTGAAAGGGGGGGGAGTTGGCAAAGACGCAACTTCGCGCTTGTCATGCAGCGCAAGGTGAGGGTGAAGCGTACATTCATCACAAACGCATACTCGTCGATCAGAGTTTTCACTATTCGGTTGACGTGCGGCGCCTCCTCCATTAGCTTCATCCCATCGGCCTCCTTTGGCTGGTGGTGGTGGGAAGATTGGGGGGGAGAAGAAAAAACAGGGTACGAGGTGAGCAAACCTTTGCATTCGGGGTACATCCGCACGAGAGCGGCAAACTACGCAACAAGCGGGTTGGACCGAGTACCTGGAGCATCAGGGGTCCAAATGTGATCGCCAAGTTCATCGATGTCATCTTGTTGTTCTCCGAGTGTTGACACACCTGGCAAGAGGTTAAGAGGTCAAGATTGTCGCAGATCTGCTAAAGTGAGCTGTGGAAGCGGGGGAAATCGAGGGGTACCAGTGTGAGGAACTCGAGCAGGTACTTGAGCACATCCCTGTTGGCTTCGGGCAGCAGGCTCAGCTTCTCGCGCAGGGCGCACAGGCGCCCGACCATCTCTTGTTGGACTGAGCAAGACTCGGATTGTGAGCGGGAGATATGGTAATAGGGGAGGACGATGGATGCAATACAGACCCTGCGCTTCGATGAGTAGCGGGTAGAGCTCGTAGGTGAGCAGAGGCTCGGGCAGGTCCCGCAGAAACTGCTTGAGCAGGCCCGACACGGCGTGCACGTCCGATCCCGGGTACACCCCTTGCCGGCCCCCTGCGACCATGCACCCGCGCCAACGCGAGAGCCAAAGGTGAGGAGGCATGCACTCGTGCCACGACAGGCGATGGCCTCTTGATCAAGGGACGAAGATAAAAAAGGATTGGGAGGGGGGGAGGAAAGAGAGAGGCTCAAAGAGGCGAGGGTACCGCTGCTTTCGTATTCCAACTTCATCTCGTTGATGAACTTCTGTGATCCGGGGATGCGAAACAACCCCTCTGCGTCAAGGCCTTGAAGGGGGGAGGGAGAGGAGAGAGATTGAGACGGCCAAACCCATGAAAGCAAAGTGGGACGGGGGCATGATGGAAAGATGATGGTGATAAGGGAATAATTGAAAGAGTGGGCGTGGAAGGGCCTACCGAAGGTCTTGAGGTACTCGATGGTGTGGACGGTGAGGATGGGTATTCGGGTGTTCTCGTAGCATTCGAGATCGCCGAGTGGGACGCCAAACACCTTCCTGGCGGTCTTCTTGCCACCAAAGATGCTCCACACCCGCTTCTTCTTATCCCTCCCGTTGTTGCCGCTGGCTGTGTCCTTCTCCTTGAACTCCATCATCGACGGAAGCTCCTTCCCATTGAGATTGATATTGTTTGACGAAGGCGATGGCGATGGCGAGGTAGTGGTGGTGGTAGATGTGTGGGACCCAATGTCATGGATCCCGCTGCTGTCCTTCTCCATGCGGTGTAATCTCTCCCGCTCACTTCACCCTCCGCGTCCGTTCGATGCAGATAGCGCGTGGAGGCGAGGAACCGGGGGAGACCCTCGAGAGAGAAGGTTGTTTATGGTTACTTGCCGTTGTTGGCCGTTGCTGGGCTTCGTTGCTCCGGTTTAGCGTTGTGCTGGTTTTTGCGCGCGGGCAGATCCCAAATTCGAAATGTGGCCGCCTAATCTGGGCGTGCCGGGCATCGCCACTGGTGGAAATGCCCGTGGGGCCGACCACACCGGCACCTCTGAGCTATTCCCCATACCATGTGCTTCACCCCATCAGCGGAAGCAACTGAAGTGGTGGAGGAGGTGGTAGCGGTACCCTCCTCCTGCTGGGCTGTGAATGATCGACACAGCTAGCTGCCGAACTGCATGGCAACTGACTACGAGTTGCCAGGGAGATCCAATGACACATGCGCGCGTGTGCTTGCCCCTGTACCATCTCACCACACCAAGGGAGGAGGCGAAGGTACGACGTTGCTGATGCAGGCCTGTGATTTATTTACAACACCAAAGCACCACCAGGAACGTGTTGAGCAGGATGACCGGACAGAAAGAGAGACAGGAAGGAAACACGAGCCAGAGCGGCAAGGTCAATGGCTGTGAACGCGAGAGAGAGAGAGAGGAGAATGAGAAGAAGAGAATGGGGGACGTAGCGACACAGGCCGAGTTCGCTATCCGGGAAGGTGCCTGTGGCGAGTGACGTTGGGCTGTTGAGAAACGTCGACTCGGTCGGGAGAGGTTTGCTGATGGCGATGGCCCTCTACATGATGGTGAATACTCGCTTCTTGTCTGCACTCCGGGAGGAGTTGGGCGATGGCGATCCGCTGCCTTCTCCGTTAAGCTGAGTTGCGCTGCGCCCCTTCTCCTGGTCGGCCGCTTGCCGAAGAGACTCCTCGAGCTCCTCGATTTGCCCGTCGCGTAGCTGGAGCATCGCTTCGAGCTGTTGTGTGTGGATTGACTGGCCCTGCAGCTCCTTCTCCAACGCGATCACCTTCTCCCGCTCTTCTCGCATGTGGACCCGGTAGAGCTGGACCTGGCGATTCAACTCTTGCTTCACCAATTCCAGGTCCTCCTCGGCTTCTTGTCGCAGCATCTCTTCTTTCTGTTCAAAAAAGCATAAATTAATTGGCGAGAATTTTTAATAATCTGTGAGATGTAGCGCACCTTCATGCTTTCGTGCATTCGCTCCTTGTCCTGCCTTTCGTTGCACAGTTCTTGCTCCAGCTGCTTGACCAGCTTCTCCAGTGCCTCTTGAATGGCAGCGGGATCTTGCTCCTCGGCCATTGCCGCCAAAGCCGTGCCCTCTACTACGCCCTGTAATGTTCACAATATTATATTAACATCGAGTGCCGGAGGGGGCGTGGCGGTGCCGTACCTGCACGTCGAGTGTAGGGCTCTCATCTTCACCAAAGACATGGAAGATACGCTTGAAGAGTGATTTCTTTCGCCTTGGTCGAATGAGGTCGTTGTCCTCGCCCGTAAGCGCGAACAGTGTGAATGCAGAAATGAATAGCACGAAGAGGGACGCGTGTGGATTGCGCACGACGGCCTCGGGAATGATGAACGACGAGAGTAGCTTCATACCCCCGCTCAGAATCCAGACTTTGATCCAATGTATTCCAACAGCTAGGCGTGTAGTGAGAGTTCCCGTTGTTGGCGCCAAGCAAGTCACGCCCAACCTCGTTCGCCCTCTTTCAACGAACTTTGGATTAACCACAATTTCACTTATGTTTCCCAAACTCACTTTCGAAGTACGAAATGCTTGAAAAGTGAGATACTGAAAAGAAAACATGAAGAAAAGAAAGTTGGGGGTTTTTTTTGCTATTCGACGAGGAAGAAGATGGGCGAGGTGAAGGTGCTGTTTGTGTGTTTGGGCAACATATGCAGGTCGCCCCTGGCCTACGGTGTGGGCAAGAAAATGGCCGCGCAGCAGGAGAGGTCACTCAAGGTGGTGGTCGACTCCGCCGGCACGTGCGACCATCACGCCGGAGACACGGCGCACCACGGCTCTGTCGCCGTCGCGCGCAAGCGTGGCATCGACATCACGGACCACCGCGCACGGAAGGTGAGGAAGAGCGACTTCGACGAGTTCGACTACATCGTGGCGATGGACGCCTCCAACCTACGCGACCTCAAGCGCAAGTGCCCACCAGAGCACGCCCACAAGCTCTCGCTCCTGCTAGCACACAGCGAACAGCACCGAGGCGAGGACGTGCCAGACCCCTACTACGGCCATCCGTCCTTCGAAGTGGTGTTCGACATCGTGGAGGACGGGGTGAGAGGCTTCTTCTCCAGCGTTCTCGCTACCCGCCCCAACGCGTGATGCAGCCTTGGGCCAGCACTCTCAACTAAACAAACTTGCACCTTACCACAAGCCGACGTGGCGTGGGCACGATGGTCGGGCGTGGGAAGGCGTGCGGCCACGTCACATCCGCAGACTTTTCTTTCTCACACTTTCGCCCAGATTGCACAAATTGTTTATCTGCAAGGATTCTCTGCATTACAACAGTCACGCTTGGCCTTGTTCGCATCAACAAGCTGCACAGGGGTGTGAACAAATTTGCTCATCCAAACAGATAGATACACAGATAAATAGATAACAAGGAAAAAAAAATGATAGAACACATCCGATCAGTCTGCAGACCTCTGCTCCTCATACTCTGCCTTGCCTACCTCTCCTCTATCGCCTTCTGTGTGCCTTCGGGCGAATCACCTCCACCTGACGTGCGTCTCACCATCACACCCCCCCCCCAAATTCGTAATTAACGATAAGCTTCGACCCATCAGACCCCTTCGGATTTTCTGGAAATCATCGAGCACCAGCAACATAGCCTCAACTACTCCAACATCTTTAACTTCAGGCCGCCACGGAACATTTCCGACTTCTACAAAGGTACGCGTGATGCATCCTCCATCTCTGTGGATGCAGCTTCTCAAGAGCCTGTTCATTAGGCGTGTGGGAGAGCAATGTCGATAGAAAGCCAACACAAGAAGACGGGCAGCCGGAAGATGACGCTGCCCACGCCACGTCCGGCAAACAAGAGGGGCCAGGACCCAAGCTTATGTTCGAATTCACCGAAAGATCTGGTCATCTGCTCTTCCAGATCGTCAACAAGCCCACGCCTCTTACCAACATCGACGTCGTTCAGGTACCTGAGCACGAGCTGCTGGCGCCAGGCTCGGTTTGCTCACGCCACTCCCCCTTTTCTTTGCGCGGGCTCGCGTGCACACAGGGCGAGATGGTGCTGCGCAATGGCATCTGGACAACGGACAAGACGCAGCACTTCGTACTGCAGGGGCTGTACTTCTGGAACCCTGGCGATCTCTTCCTCATCGCCAATCCCGTACACTCCAAGCAGTATTTGGCCCCTTCCTTCTCTTCCAGCGCTTCACCCCATGATGCCTACATCGAGTCAGTGCTAATGAGCTCTCTGTTCTGTCAGTGGTGCATCGCCCATCATTCAAGACTTCATGCTCACGCTGAAGAACGATAGCACCGTGCACGACGCTATCGCCCAAGCTGGCAGCATTCCCAAGCTTCTTGCCGGTAAGCCCTCCGTGCCTCCTCTGCCACTCTCAGCTCCCCACCCGTATACCTCTCTTGCTGACCGATCGGGATGAGCAGCGACCAATTCCAGCGCGGCGGCTGCCGGGATGAATCAGTGCTACTTCCAAATACTGTTCAAAGCCAAGCCGTCACCGTTCCAGCTCGACAAGGCCACGAGGAACGGAGGTACTGTAGTGTCAACCCAAGCTGAACATCAGATGGATGACTTGAACTACCGCTCACGCTTCTTCCTATCCTTCTTTCTATCTGGGCTGTCTCCCCTCCAGATGACGACGATGCGGCGAAGCCGATCATGGACGTGAAGGGCATCATGCACAGTCCCAACTGCGATTCCGTGCTCGTGGCTGAGGTGTCCTCCATCCAATTCGACACCTACTACCGGAAGGCCACCAACTACGTCATCATGGTCACCTTCGTCACCTGCATTCAGATCCTCCTGCTCATTAAGCAAATGGAAGCCACCAACACACAGTCGGTACGTAGTCGCGCGAGCCATGCTCATCGACCCTCCCGCTTCTCTTGCATTTGAACTCGTATTGTTCTTAATTAATTGGTCCATCTTGTGCACTTACAGGGAGTTGCAAAGGTGTCGCTACTGACCATCGGCGCTCAAGCGGTGATGGACTCCTACCTCTGCCTCATCCATCTCACCGCTGGCATCGTAATCGGTGCGTAGTCGCTGGCTGCTGCTGCTGCTGCTGCTGCTGCTCTCTCTCTCTCTTCTCTGGGCGCATATCCACTAGCTGATGGGGCACTCACCCATCTCTTTAAACTTGTTGTGAACACAGAATCTGTATTTAATCCCTACGCCACGGCCGCGTTCTTCAAATTCGTTCTCTTCTCCATCTTCGAGATGCGCTATCTCCTTCTCATCTTCAAGGCCCGCAACCCCGAGACGTTCGCCGCTGGATGGCGGGCAGTGAGGCGGAAGCTCGGCCAACTCTATATTCGCTTCTGTACGTTCCCCCCCCCGGTCCCCGGTGCACGCGCGTTGGGGTCCTCATCTCTCCTTCAATTTCCAATGATGCCGTGCAGACACTGTCATCTTCACCGGCTTCGTGGTGGTGTATTACTTCCACGGCATGTTTTACTTGGGTCTCTTCATGCTCTACTCCATTTGGATCCCCCAGATCTTCTGCAACGCCACCCAGGTACTCACACCTACCCCACGATAAACCAACCAACTATGTTTACTGCGCGGCGTCTTACCGAGTGTGTGCCCATGTCTCTTCCGTCATTTTTTCTTCATGTTATAGTTCCATCGCAATGCACTGCTCAAGAAGTATGTGGTCGGAATGACCCTCACGCGGTTGTGTATCCCCATGTGTACGTTCTTCCTCCGTCCTTGTGACTGCCCTGCGAGGCACCGTATGCCCCGAATAGCTCATTCTCGCCGTTCCACACTTGCAGACTTCTACGGCTGTCCGTACAACTTCCTTCACGTGCAGCCCAACTACAACCTTCTTTCCTGGCTGGCCGCGTACGTTCCTCCTCTTTCGTTCAAGAGTACGAAGAGTGGTGTGGCTCACGCACACGCCACCATCAGGTATCTGCTGCTGCAGGTGTTCGTCTTGTTCACCCAAGACCTTCTTGGTCCTCGCTGGTTCCTCCCTCGACGGGTACGTGTTCGCTATTATCTGCTCCCTCCCTCTCCCAGTGATCGGCACGCTCACGTTCTCTCCGTCCACCTCCAACAGTTCCTGCCCGACAAGTACGACTACCAACGGCCTGTACATGTTGACGCCGAGCAAGGCGAGTCGAAGGAGTGCGTCATCTGCATGAGCGTGGTGCTGCCCAACCAGCGAGACTACATGGTGACGCCATGCAACCACCTCTTCCACCAGAACTGCCTTGAGCAGTGGATGGTACGCGTCACCATCATCACCGCGCACCCACACACGAACGCACACACGACACGCAGGAGCCAAAACTAATTTGGTGTGGGTTGGCATTGCACAGGAGTTCAAGATGGAGTGCCCCACCTGCCGTAGGCCACTGCCCTACCCATAGACCCCGGCCACCATCCCTGGACTATTTATTGCCTCGGCGGCGTAGCTGCACAAGGCCTCTGCCGCACAGAGGCGGTTTTGAGGGCCAAGAGTTGAGCCTCACGCGACACATGTCGTGATGACGAAGAAGGAAGGGTTCCACTGCGCGTACGCTGCGACGTTCGTCGTGAGCCGCACTCCTGCGTTTTGTAAAGAAGAGTCGTTGAACAGCCTCACCCTCTTGCACATTCCATTGGCGAGCTTTATTGGCCTCTCACTCCTGATTGGCAAAGAGGTCTTCCCTGCCCTTGTACTTCTTGTTGTCATCGGGTCCCTTGCGATATTTGATGGTGTCCTTCTCGGGGTGCATGTTGAGCCTTGCATCGTACTTCTTCATCCCCCCCTTCTTGCCCCGGTTGGCTGGGAACGCCCGGCCCTGGGACAAGTCCACTTTCATATCCGGATTCACTGCATCCTTGGGCACTGTGCACTATCATCAACTCCCTGTGCAGGACATCACAAGAGGAGAGGCAGGGGCCACGCACCACCGAGCTCAACGCCCTTGTCGAGGACGTCCTGGATGGGCTGGATGGAGCTCTTGGGCTTCTGCTGCTGCGACATGTTGGCTGCTCGAGTTGTGTTGAGTGTTGGCCTGGCGAGGGGGCGATGACTTTGGTTCTCTCGCGCTGGGTGCGGCCGGTTGTTGGGCCAGCTTTCATCGAGACTACAGTTAGAGCCAGGAATAGTTTTCGGTGGAAAGGAGCCGGTTTTTGTGCGATACAATGAATGATGAATAAACAGGGATGTAGGTAGTTCTCCAGGTCTCCGTTCTTCCTAAGTGGAGTGAGCTCAAGGCTCGGGCAGCTGCTTGGCGCGCTGCAGGATGTTCATCCAGTCGGTCTTCTCCTTTTCAGTTGGGGCCTGGGTAATGACCACACAACATGTGTGAGTGGTGCGGGGGCTTGGCCAGGGCAAGCAGAAAGTAGGAAGCAGCGTACCTGGAGGATGTAGGTCCTCTTCATCATCTTGAGCGCAAACTCGTTGTCCTGGCCGTCGACCACCTCGAAGTGGTTGTTGAGCATGATCGATCCACACGCCTCCGACTTGTCCTGTGTATCGGCCGTTCGTCGTTAGTTTATTGCACACACGCACCTCGACACACGACACACACGCATCACCGCACACGCGCACGAGAGAGAAAGAGGCACCTTGACGTCACGGAAGTAGACGAGCACGTTGCCGCGCAGTTCGAACCACCTCCTCTGCCACTTCTTGTGGAAGGCGGGGCTCCTCTTGCACATCCAGCCCTGGTGGGTCAGGTACACCGTACCACTGGTCGTCGTCTCCTCGCTGTTGTTATTGTTATTGTTCAAGCTCGACGGTGCGCGCCTGCGGCCGCCGGCGCCCTCGTCGTCGCGGTCGTCGTAGTGCCCGTCCTCGAAGCCGCCGTCCGCGTCACGCCCCCTGCGCATCGAGCCGCGCCTCGGCGCCGGGCCACCACCACCGCTCCGGATGTTGGGTGCCAGGTCGTCGTCGCTGTCGCTATCGCCGTACTGCCGCCTGCCTGGGCCTCGCCTCTCCCTGCTGCGGCTGCGGCTCCTGCGCGGGCTGCGGCTCCGGCTTCGCCGGTCGCGCCTGCCTCGATCCCGCGGGCTGCGGCTCCGGCTGCGCGTGCGGCTCCGGCTCCGGCTCGGGGTGCGCCTTGATCGGCGGCCGCGGCTCGAGCTGCGACTGCAGCTGCGCGTGCGGCTCCTACTCCTGCTCCTGCTCCGGCGGCCCCGATTGTTCGCAGCCCCGCGGCTGCGCTCCCGGCTCCTGCTCCGGCGGTCCCTGCGGTCGTTGTCCCGGTCGTCGGCGTAGTTGGGAATCACCGTGTTGGCTTTGGGGCCTCGCCCTGCCACGTCATAAGGGGGTGTGTGGGCTGATGACGTGGCATTTCACAGAAATAGAACGGGGGGCGCGTACGGTCCCACTCGAGGTACTGGTCCTTCTCTTCGAGGTCTTCGCGCTGCTTCTTCTCCTTGAGGAGGAGGAACCGAATGAGGTCTGTACAGTGGAGCATCTCGAGCGGGCTTGTTCTCGTTGATGACCCACACGCCGTTCTCCCCCTGCTTCTCGTTCATGAGCTCGATCACCGTGTCCACCGACGTGTTGGGCACGCAGAAGACGGGAACCGGGACCGGTTGCTGGTGTGTGTGTGTGGTGTGTGTGGTCATTGTGACGCGTTGTTAGTTTGTGTTGGACCCAAGAGCTTTGGGGTGGGCACTGCTGTACCTTGGTGAGCTCAAAGAACTCGAACACGTTCATGTCCAAGGTGGAGCAGTTGTGGCGGTTCAAACCCTGCACCAAGAAAGAATGTATGCAAACCGTTACTGCTGCGTTGCGTTGCGTTGCTGCTGGATAGATGGCGTACCCGCAGACAGGAGAAGCTGAAGGTGGTGAGGAGAGCCCCCGAGTTGTCGGTGATGGCCACCATGGGGCACTTCTTCTTGACCATCAGCGTGAGGAGCTCCACCACCTTTGTATTCTTGGGCGCCATCGTCGAATTGGTCGTCAGGTACCTGGCGTTCACCGGGAAGAGAGTGTGAGTTCGTGTGTGTCGTGTCCTGTGTCGTGTGTCGTGTGTTGCGTGTTGTGCGTCGTGCGTGTCGTGTCGTGTGCGTGTGTTGAGATGGCGTGGGGGGGGGCGTACCTGAGGTAGTTGACACTGGTGCCGCGCAGGGTGTTGATGTACCTCCTCGAGTTCTGCTTGAGGAACCACAGCAGGGAGCTTTGCTTGATGACCTTGCCGTCGTGCCCGCTCGGCCCCAGGGGGAACTGCTGGATCTCCTTGCTGAGGACCTTGACGATCGAGGCCAGCGGATCGCGGGAACCGACGCCGCACTGCTGCCACGACGGCTTGTACTTGGAGATGCCTGCTCCCCAATAGAAAGATGTAAGGCCATGTGTGTCGTGTATACCGTGTGTGTCACAGTTCAACTGCAAGAGAGGGCGAGGCGCACTGTTGAGCACGTCGTGCACGGTGTGTTGGGTCATGATTTCGCCCATCTTGGAGAGCAGATCCTCTTTGGACGCCTGCAGTGCCCGCGTCAGGAGATAGGCGACTGCCACAGACGACACACACACGCGCGCAACTCATCGAGGTAAGTGGCCCCCGAGGAGGAAAGACAGAGACTGGGCCACGCGTCGCCGTGGGGCGCAACGTACTGACGTCGTAGATGTCGATCATTTTGTCCATTCGGCCGTCGTTGGTCCGCACCGGGAGCGACGTGAAGCGGAACTCGCCCAAGAGCTGCGTGTGGCAGGCGCATGTGCGTGTGTGCATGATGATGAGTGGAATGACCGTATAGCTAGAGTGTGAGAGTGTGTACCTGGAGGGCGGTCTCGACGGACTCAGACGACTCGACGATGATGAGCTCGGTGGCGAGGCTCTCGGCCGGGGTCTCCTCCAGTAGGTTGGTGAGCGGGGTGCACTGGGACCTGGCCGGCACGCCGCCGCCGCCGCCGCCACCGCGCTGGGCGGCCTTGTCCTTCGGGTTCATGTAGTCGCCCAGGCTCATGGTCGTGTTGCGGCGGTCCGGCGGCCGCGGGCGGCGCTCCTCGCGGTCCCTTCCGCCGCGATCCCTCTCCCGCTCCCTGTCGCGGTCCCGCTCCATGTCCCGCCCACCGCGGTCGCCTCCACCATGCCCACCGCGGCCCGCCTTGCGCTCGAGGCTGTTCCCGCGCTTCTGGCGGTCGTCGTCGTCGCCTTGGTCCCTGCCGCGGCCGTCGGCCTTGTCGAAGCGCGAGGTGCGCACCTCCTTGTCGCTGCGTACGCCCCATCGGTCGGCCCCGGGCGCCGTCGCAGCGACCGCGCCGCGATAGCCGTCGCGCTTGGCCAGCGGGTCGATGGCGCCGCCGCCGCTGCCGCTGCTGGTGCGCACTACGTAGAAGCTCTCGCTCTTGCCGCGAGGCCCGCGCCGCAGCTGGGCGACGTGGCCCAGCCGCGGGTTGGGGGCGGCGGCTGACGTCATCACGGGCGCCCCCCCAAGGGCCTGGCCCGCGTTCCGCTTAATCTCGAGGTCCTTGAGCATCCGCAGGAGTTGCACCTCCTTCTCGAGATTCTTCACATACTGCTCGTCCGTCGTGGGGTCTCTCTGGGCCATTTTCTTTTCTTCTTGACCTGAGCTCCTCGATATCTATGATTTTAGATGTCGCTGATGTTGGAACGAAGAAGAGGTGGTGTCGCCGCTGACGTTGGTCTCTCTCTTCTTCTTTTTTCGTTCAGCTGTCGACGTTGGAGTCGAACCGAGACCTAAGCTTCAAGTGAGATCTCCTTCTCCTCCCGTGTGTCGGCTCTCTTCACTTCCAAGGTGGCTCGAGAGGGAGTGGAAGGGCACGACTCGTGTTGTCTCGAACGAACGGGCGCGCGTGGCTCTGAGTCATCATTGGTAGCGCGCATTTTGGTACCTGGTATCTGGGGAAACGACCGTTAACTGGCAACCAAAACCTGAAAGGTAACCCGTTTGCCATGTCCAATTAAAGCCAGCAAATAAGAGGGGCCATACCATTACATGCAGCATTGTGGACCATACACTCGGGGCGACCTGGACTTGCTCTCGTACCAATTATTTGGTGGTGGAAAATGAACGGTTGTTGGCAGTCTGATGAGAAACAACACGCACATACCTCCGCCTTACCAGCGCCAGGCGTCGAGGTCGACGTTGCCGCCGGAGAAGACCACGCATATCCGTCGCACGTCGGGATTGGCCTTGCGGAAGTCCTCGCTCAGCACCGCCGCCAGCGAAACAGCCCCGCTGGGCTCCACCACCAGCTTCATCCGCTCCCACACGAGCCTGCGCCACCAATCCCCGCTGGTCGTGTTGGCGGTGCGCCGCGCAGGCAACAAGGAGGAAGATGGAATGGGAAGCATGGGTCCATCGTACCTCATGGCAGCTTTGATCTCCTCTTCGGAAACAGTGTAGATGGCGTCGACGAGGTCCCGGACGACGGGCCACGTCAGGCTGCCGAGCCCCGTCCGCAGTCCATCAGCAATCGTCGAAGTGCCGGTTTGGGGCAACAGCTCGCCGGCTTCCTTCGATCTGCGCGTAAGGTGCGAGTTTGGTGCGTGTGTCGTGTGAGCGCTTGTGCAGCTCTGTCAGGCTATTGAATGGTGGCCGGGAGTCGACTCACCGGTAGGCATCGTCGGCATCCTTGGGCTCGGCACCAAAGACTTTGATGCCAGGCTTGAGAGCCTTGGCTGCAATCGCTACGCCCGACATCTGGGAGGGAGCGCTCAAACGAATGAGGCAGCTAGCCCACCACAAATGAGAGTGAAACACGGTCGCGTGTTGTCCGTACCATACCGCCGCCGCCCACAGGGGTGATGATTGCATCGAGATCTGCCACCTGCTCGAGGGCTTCCAGGGCGATCGTGGCCTGGCCAGCGATGACATCCTACACATGTGGTGCCGCACGATGTGTGTGAGAGAGTGCGAGAGAGAGTTGGCGTAGATCCGAGTGGTACCGGATTGTTGTACGGATGGATGAAAACTGCACCGGTCTCTGCCACAATTCGATCGGCTGCTCGCACGAACAGATCACCACAATGAGAACGACGTTCAGCGTGAAGATGCACGTGATGTTAAGATGTTTAAAAATAAATTCCAGCTCCGCTAGCCTAGAAGATAGGCGCTCACAGACACCACTTGCTTGTCCGATCATTTGTCTTGAGTTTGAGAGGAGGGTGGACCGTTTAAAAAACTTCACTGGTGTGCAGTGTGAAGCCGATCGCTGCTCCCTGGACCGCCCCACAGCACAGCTGCAGGGGACTTGGTGCCAGGGCGCCCACAAGAAATAAGTCTAATCTTGAGTCGTGAGGCACATTGGCCTCACTACCAGAGATTAAGCTGATAAGAACAGATACTACACTTGATCTTAGCCACGAAGGCCGAGAAGATGCCTCTCCGTGTTGTGGGCACCGCCCATTTATACCTCAACCACGCACACAAGCTTGAGAGTGGGAAAAAGAACAGCTTTCTCCCTTGCTCATAACTTCCTCAGAACACATGCACACACACGGCACGCGCATCCTTATAGAAAGACAAAGAGAGGAGAGTACCTGTGGGCTGCCGGGACTCGACAGTGGGGCAGTCGATGACTTGAGCGCCGTAGCCCAGCACGCCACGCTTCTTGACGGCCGGGGCCGAGAGAGGCATCACGATGTAGGCGGGAATGCCGCGCAGCTTTGCCGCGAGTGCCAGCGCTGCAGCCACACCGGTGTCGTGTGAGCTGTCCCCTCCGGACGTGATGGGGCAACGTAGTCGCGGGCGAGGGCACCTACCTTGGGCATGGTTGCCGCTGCTGTGGGTCACTACGCCTTTGCGGGCTTCTTCGTCTGTCAGTTTGAACACGGCGTTGCAAGCGCCTCTAATCTTGAATGCTCCGACCTGCACATGAGAGCATGATTCGCTTATTACTCCACCACTATTCTCATGAGAGTAGTGCCGATGCGAAGTTGGGGGGGGGGATACGGAACCCTTTGAAGATTTTCGCATTTGAAGAAGAGATTGCATCCGTTCGTGAGGGCGTCGAGAGTTTGCCATAGGGCTACGGTTCGGGGATGCAATGAAAATGAGTAGGCCTCATTTAACTTGAAGCACTCGTTCACTCTGTAGAACTATTTTTCTACTCATGGCCTTCCCCTCTATACGCTTTGCCGCCTCCTGCACCTCGGCCAGCCCCACCAACCCCGCCGCTCCCTCACTGTGCTGCATACGGAGGCAAAATACAATCTCGCACCCAGGCCGGAGAGAAGTGGGCGAGGAGGAGTGGTGAAACACATCATCGTTACAACTACTTTCACTGTTGTGAGGTTAGCGGCGTGTTGGGATCGAGCAGGGTGCCAGAAGAGATGGCGGCCATGGTCTCCTCTATTCGCATCACCTGCAGCGCGGGATGAGAAGGGTGAGCGTCGGAGGCAACGCCGACGTCTGCAGATCATAGAGGCCAGAGCGATCGACCACATACCCTGGCCTCGATGGCGGCGATGGCCGTCTCGCGCTTGTTGAGCCGGAACTCGGCGTTGGTGATGGCTTCCTCCACATCTCCCATGCGAGCCTCCCTCACTCGCCGATCGTCGTTGAGTCGCAGCACCTACAAGCGGTCCACCAACCACGACGAGCGGTATGAGTGCACGCCCACGCACACCACATTGATGAGTGCGCACTTGCTTCTCGGCGTCGAGGAGCTGTTGGTAGGGCATGAGGAAGGGTGATGGCGCCTGGCGAGCGTAGGCCAAGTACGGTTGCTGCCCACCGCCCCGCGGCTGTTGCTGCCCATAACTACTCAATGCGCAGCGCCCCATGCGTAAGTAGTGCTCGAACCAGACTGTTGGGGGGGGGCACGAAGAAGGCGGGCACTTGATAGAAGGAGTAGTACCCAGAGCTGGAGGGAGGCGAAGGGTAGCGAGACTGGTGATGTGGCGAGTGGGGCCTATGCATTCGATTGGCAGATCAAAAGGCGAATGATGTGGCGGAATCTTTCAACAGTGGTTTCAAAACGTAAACAATTTGTTTCGTCTTATCGGAAATATTCGGCGGTTTTCAATTTAAATTGCATTATTTTCTTTGTTTTCCTACACACCTTGGCCCGCGCCAGATCGCGACTTCTTGTGGCCTCGCTCAGCCTCACCCTCCTTGCGCTTGTACACGCCCGGGTTGGTCTGGAAGTAGTTGTGCACGAACTTCCTGATCTTGTCGGCGTTGAACTCGCCCTTGCCCTTCTCCATGACCTTGTGCGTCCAGGTACGCGACAGGTACTTGAAGTCCTCCTGTTGTTTCCCACGGTGAGGATTCGGGTGTGCGTGGTGTGTGGTGGCTGTTTGTGAGCCGCGAGACGAACCTTGGAGGCGATGCGCTTCTGCTTGTAGTAGTACTCGAGACACTGGATGATCAGCTTCGATATCTTGGCCTTGAGCTCCTTCCGCTTCTTCTTCTCCCGCGCTTCCCGCTCTTCCTTGGCCTTGGGGTCTTCCTCCTGCGCATGACGATGGCACACAGTGATGACATCATTAACAACAAGTCACGACCGCAAGCAGCCCAGAGGTGAAGGAGAAGGTGTTACCTTTTTCGCCGCCTCCCTGCGCTTGCGTTCTTTCTCTTCCGCCTCCCGGCGCTTGGTCTCCTTCTCCTCGGCCGCGCGCCGTTCCCGCTCTTCCGCCTCCCGCTTCTCCCGCTGCTGCATCTGCTGGTCGTTGTCGATTTGTGATGACACGGCGGGCGTAGGAGTGGTAGCGGCGGTGTTGGCGGACATGGGCGTCGTTGGGAACTGGGGCTGGTAGGCGTTGCCGACGCTGCTGGCCGAGGCCGCCTGCACTTGCGTGAGCAGCGACGGCAAGAGGCCCGCCTGTGGTGGCGTCGCATTGGGGCGGACACCCGCCGCTGTTGGCATCACGCCCGGGTAGCCCATCATGAACGGCGGAACCCTGGCCGACATGGGCAGAGCGTTCGGATAAGGGAAGGCCGCGGGCGCTCGGTGGAGGGCAGCGGCAGCGTTGGCAGCTGCGATGGCGGCCGCGGCCTGCGGGGTAAGCTGTGCGGCCGGGGGCACGGCCGAAGGAGGCATGGAAGAGGTGGAGAAGTTCGACGGAGCCGCAGGCCGCGGTGGCTGCTGGTGGTGGTAAGGCGGCGGAGTCCTTCTCCGCTCTCGCTCTCGTTGGCGCTCCCTCTCGCGGCTTCGGCTCCGACTTCGGCTCCGGCCACGCCTTCGGTCGTAGTCAGACCGCTCCCTGCTGCGATCCCTGCTTCTGCTCCGGCTCCGGCTCCTGTCCCTTCGACTCCAGCCCCTGCCCCTGTCCCTGCCGCGATCCCTGCTCCTGCTCCTGCTGCGGCTGCTGCTGCTGCTTCTGCTTCGACGCCTGCGATCCCTGCTGCGGCTCCGGCTCCGGCTCCGGCTGTCCCTCTTCCTGTCGCGGTCCCTGCTGTCCCTCCGGCTCCTTCGCGATTCGCGGCCTCGGTCCCTGCTCCTGTCGCGGTCCCTGCTGTCGTCTCTGTCCCGACGATCGCTGCCGTGCGGCGGCGACGTCGTGGCAACTTCGGGAGCCTGCACATCCAGCATTAGGGCCTTGCTCCCTCGAGACGGAGGAAGCGACAAAGAGAGATACCTTGGCTGTGCTGGCCGGCGCCTGCTGGGCTTGAGCCTGGGGCGTAAGCAAGCCGGCTTGCTGCCGCGCGAGAAGAAACTGGGCGGCCTCGGGTGTCATTGGTTGTTGCGTTGGCTGCTGCTGCTGCTGGATTCGCTGCATTTGCTGTTGCTGAAGGATGTGCGCGATTCCCTGCTGCGAGAGCTGCGGTGGGAACGCGAACTGTTGCGCACGCTGTTGCGCGGCGATGGCCGCCTGCACGGAGTAGGGCACCGGCGGACGCGCAACGCCGGCAAAGTTGGGCATGCCGAAGGGCGGAGTCTGGAGGGGCTGATAGGGAGCAGCTGCTCCCGAGAGACCAGCGCTCGGCGGCGTAGCGGGCGGCAGAGTTGATGACGTGGTGCTTACGCTGTAGGACTCGCGGTGAGGTGACGAGGGCGCGCTCGACCGCGGGGGAGTCGCCGCTCTGGGTGGAGTTGGCTCCTAGTGGGGTATGTTTGCGATTAAACAGGTGATCGCGGCTGAAAGCAAAGCTTCATCAATGCTTCGCCGTACCCGCGGAGGCGGCTCGACGGGGGGCAGCTTGGACTTCATCTTGGCTCCGAATTTCGAGACCCTCTTCTGTGGCTGCGCAGACGGGACGTAGATGGGCTCCTCGACCCTCTTCTCCGGTTCCCTCTCCCACCTGAACACAGGGAGGAAGATCACGTCAATACCGAAGAGAGCGCGGGGGAGCGAACCAAACGAGAGGGCGACGTACTGCGTGTCCTGAATCTCCGACCAGACCTTTTCTCTGTCCCACCCCTATAACACAGCATTGGTATCAGCTCATGTGTGCCGTCGTGGTTAGGGAGGGTGGAAAGTGGATGGGGGAGGGGCTTAGGCTGCGCGTACCTCCTTGCGCTCGAGGGCGTCCCATTCCTTGGGCTTCTTCGACGCCCTCCGCCTCTCCCTGTCCTGTTCCTCCTCCTCTTCCCACTCCCGCTGCCTGCGCTCCTTGTTGTCTCTTTCCCTCTCCTCGGCTTCCTCAACACTTCCGCTTCGACTCCGTCCCCGCCTTCGCCTACTTCGTCGCACCTCCCTACCCTCCTCGCGCTTCCTGCTCTTCTCCTCTCCTTCCTCCTCTTCGTTGCTCGATCTCCCCTCGTTTTCGCTCTCGCTCTCGCTCCTGTCCTTGGCTTCCCTGGCCTGGCGGCTCCTTCTTCGAATCCTCCGCGTTCTTCGCCTCATCCCTGGCGGGCGCTTGAGCGGTGACACCTCGAAGGTGACGCCGCCGTCGTCTTCCTCCTCCTCCTCTCCGCTCATGTCGCTTTCCAGCTCCTCCGCCTCCAGCGGGCCGCCGGCTTCCTCCGTCGACATGGCACCGAGTTCCTCGGCGTCGCCGCCGCTGCTTCGTCTCCGCTTGGTCTTCTCTTCTTCCTCCTCATCCTCCCCAGATGCGTCCCTCTTCGACTTCCGCGAGGCTCTCTTCGCCTTCTTTTCCTTCCTTTCGCGCTTCCGCCCTTTCTTTTTCTTTTTCTTTTCCTTCTCCTGCTCGCTGTCGTCGCTTTCGCTCTTTGTCGACTTCTCGACCTCTGCTCGCTGCGGCTGCTCTTCTCCCTCCTTGGGCGGGGCCTGCCAGTTCATGAGCAGGTCCATGTCCACGTCGCCCTCCTCGCTGTCCAGTTCCGATGAGGAATAGTAGTCGCCCTTCACGCGCTTGCCCTCCTTCTTTTCCTTCTCGTCCTTCTTGCTCGCGCTTCGCTTCTTCGCCGACGACGACTTGCTGTCCCTCTTCTGCTTCCTCTTCTTTTCGTCTCGTGTCGACCTGCCGCCCTTCTTCTTGGCGCTGCTGCTGCTTGTCCTCTTCTTCTTGCTCTTCGACTTCTTGTCCTCGCCCTCGTCGTCCATCTTCTTCCGCTTTCGGCTGGCGGCGCTTTGGCTGGCCCGCTTACTCTTCTTGTCCTTCTTTGGAGACCCGGAAGAGGGGGGGCGTGTGAGGTGGGGTTCCTTGTGGTTGGGCGGTTTTGGGGGGGGGGATAACGACCGTTTCTCGGCCTCTGCGAATGCTTGACGGAGGTACTGTTCTACTTGCGCAGCACTGTGACCACAATACGTCGATGCGACGTCAGCCCGCAAGGTTCCGGCTGCAGAGGCGGCATGACGAGGAGAGGAATGGGAGGTGGAGCGCGTTGGGGGAAGGTTCGTGCCTGGCTTCGTCTACAGGGTAGAACTCTTCAACCACGACTGTCCCCGCCAGCTTCGGGACGAGGGAGTGCCTCCCTCCTTCTCTTCGAGCTTGACCGCCGCAGGAAGGTCGTCGGCGACGGGCGATTTCCCTGCCACCACGGACTCCTCCTCGATGACCTCGTCGATCACCACTTCGCCCGCTTTCAGGTCCCGGCCCAGGGTCTCGTCCTGGATCACGATCTCGACCAGGTCGTACACCTCCGTGGCGGTACCGACGTCGCCCACCTTGTCATTCCGCGTCACCTCTGTCTTCTCTTCTGGGCGTGGCTCTTTGGCGTCTTCCTCGCCGTCTCGGGGCTCTCGGCGGTCAGCGACATCAGAGCCCTCCTCGCTGCGTCGATCCGTCGCCGTCTCCTTGTCACGGGCTCCGTCCTCCTCCTTCTCCTCCTCGTGCGCCTCTTCCTCTCCGTTTACCTCGTTGCCCCTTTCCTCGACGATCGCGTCGTTCGGTTCCTTGGGTTCGAGCGTCTCTTCTTTCTTGTTGTTCTTCTTCTCCGCCTCCATCTCCATGGCGTCGTCGTTGGTGGCTACGTCCCATTCTTCCGCGGCTTCTTTTAAGGCCTCCACGGGATGCACTTCTTCCATGTCGTTGGTGTGGCCTGGCCCTTCTACTTCTTCTTCTTCTTCTGCCTTCGCTGCGGCGGTGGGGGTTGCCTGCTGTGCGCTTTCCTCCTCCTCGCCGAGCTTGCTGTTGGTCGGTGGAGAAAGGTCCCCTGGCGATGGTCGATGCT